ACAGATAATTGCAGAGCGCTTCAATCCCCACGAGGCGAGTGGTCTGAATCGCACCAGTACAGACACTTCATCAACAACCTGCGTGTTCTCGGGTGCCTTGAAAACGCAATGCGCATTTCGTTTTCATGTCTTTGCGTGAACTTTGAATCAGTTCATTAGCCAATGAGATGTGCAGATTGGAATCACTGGCGATTTGAGCATCGAGTGGAACGGCCATTCATGAGTTTCACCCCCAAGATATTCAAACACACACAGACTACCAACGAAATGTTGTCTGCCCTTTCGCTTACACTGTAAATTTGTTTTGTATGAATAAGTGAAACTTCCTTCTGTCTGTGCAAACATCCTCCGGGCATTTCTTGGTGCGGGGGAGGGGATGTGGGGTTATTGATAGATCGGGGAAATTGGGTGCTTAAAAGGGACACGGCTTTTGCTTTGCACTCACTACTCAAGGGATTTCCGTTCAACACTTTGTCCAAATTAGCCCGACGCAAACTGCTGATCGCTTTTAGGACGTCTCTTTCACGTTTGCTTTGAATTTTTCGGGCCTGCGTGAGTGAACGCTTCTGTCGTCTGTGTTTTTGAAACATTTGATTGAATTTGCTGCAATTCGGGTGAGAACAGAGGAGAAAATTATGTGAGTGAACATTTGGTTGGAACCTTTTTTCAAAGTAATGATGAGTATGTGCAATGACTTTGATAGAATTTGCTAGTTTAATGTGCCACCAGGTCTAGATTTTTAACGACAATTAAATAAACTTATCCAAACACACACTGCACAATGACACTTTAGCACGGTATTTCACATTTAATACGGAAACGCGATAACAAAGGAACACATCAAGAAGGAACGACTGCCCTAAGCCCGTCTCACTTTGGCTTTACATACGAGGTCGTCCCACAAAATGCGAAAGTTCTCTTATTTCCTGAGACCCGACGGTTACAAAACAACTGCGTCTATGCACAGTCCCCTGCATCGGGGACGTCCTGACTCCTCGAAAAGCCGACCTTGCTGAGGTTTTTGAGGATCGCGCGTCGTCCAGTCGACGCCTCGGCAGGGAAGGCCCGCTGCAGGGGCGGCGACCAGGTCCGCGACGCGCTTCCAGTCAGAGCTGTTTGGAAAGACTGCATTCGACGGAACTGCTTCCGTTTAGCCGCGAGTTCGGGGGTTATTGGGGGTGGGGCGGTGTGGCCCAGGTCCTTGGTCGACGAGGGGGTCGCTCGTGCGTACATCTTCGGCTCGTCGATCCCGTAGATCCAGTAGACCTTGCGGCTCATTGAACTCAACACCTGTCCGGACGCCGAAAACGCCTGCAGCAGCTCGCTGAACCACTGTTCTACGACTATTCTATCCTACAATGAAGACTCGTGGCGTTACACGTGCGTTTTGTGGGAATTCGCTACGCTTAAAAAATGCAGGTTATTATCGTTGGGCGAATCGCCTTGTCATCCATATTTTCACAAAAGACGTTTACTTCGAAAACTCAACAAAGCAAAAATGTGGTCCTAGACATTAGTACTTAACTTCCATAACAATTTAAAAAAGCGGACAAATCATAGTTTACAGTTGACAGCTAGACAGAGTCAGAAATAACCGAGGAGTCAGTGGACGGTTCATAAGTTTTACGGCAGGTATTTGACCGATCGAATGATCAGAGCAGTTGATGTGACCACAACGTAGCGGTGTTGGATTAGTCGACTTGCTTGCATTACTGGTCCTGATTGGTTTCAAAGTAAACAAAGAGAAGAGACACAACACCGACTTCAACAACGATTTAATCGTGCATTGAGAAGACACATGGCGGTTGGTCTCATTCACCTGCGTTGAATCGGCAGGTTCGTGTGAAGATCTTCCAAGATCTGGAGCGTCAAAATCGGACCGTAACAGAACAAGCTTTACACGAATCTAGCGTCACTTAAAAAATCAATTGCAGGAATGCTGCATGGAGCCCATTTGAGACCCCATCGCCCGCAAATGGAGATGGAGTAGACATCAAAGTGCTGTAAAGTAACCTTTTTGTTCACCTGATCTTACACTTCTGCAATTTTATGTGACCATTTAACAATCCCTCCGCACAGATGGTGATCTCTGGTACACGATGTGCTCCCTATAACATTTTGATTGATGGACACTTGATTTAATACAGATTTACAACGATATCAGTAAGTTAGACGGAGCATTTACTCTCTGCTCACCCTAAATACAGAAGCTGAGTTTAGTAAGTGGTTTGATTAGAAAGGAGCAGCCTCAAACTTCAATTCAAGATGACACAAACACACCAAGCATGGTTCACTAGGAATTTACGCCTCAAACTTTATCTCTGAAACAAAGAAGACAGGAAATAAAACCAACTTGACTGGCCTCAGTATTTGTCTTATTGGGAGACTGTAGTTTTTGTGCAATCACGTAATTGCCAATTATCACCGTGTCGAAATCTAGAATAATGAGGGGAATGGAGTCTCCTGTTTACAGAAGATCTTAATGACCATTATTAGGGAATTTAATAGCTTGAAGGCCAAACTATCGATGAAAACACTAATTACACGTCGTTTCAAATGGTTTACCAACACATCCTAGCTCCTGATTTTTCTCTTTGAGACTGTAAACTAATTAAGGGGAATTTCATGCTGCTTCCTTTACAAATAGGACAATGGTTTTTGTAATTTGGATAAAAATCGCATTTGATTGGTCACTTTGCTAATAATTTAAACAAAATTTCATCGGGTTTAAACTGTTGGCCGATTTAAATTGTTCTTGATTTAATCTCCCTTAGTTGTTCATTTTGGAGCGCAGATTTTCGAATACATTTCGGTGTTAGAATTGTTTAATTATTGCATGAAATTTGACAAATTTTTTACCCCTCACAAAAAATGTTTACAGGACCTAACGTGAATCGAAAACGTCAAGAACCAGGGACTTTCCTGTACCGTTCTGCATCGCTACTTTTCGAAATTAATTCACGAAAAGTTGCGAATGTAACATTGAAACCTTGTTTCGATGATGAATTTCAGTCCGCGTGGACTGTGAAATTGCGTGATTGCTTGGAAGAAGGTTTTAAAAAAAAGTGCTGTGTGGGTGTTATTTTGGGATTCACATGAAACCACATTTATCAACAAAAGCAAGTTGAATTCGTTTTGTTCATTAAGTGGCAACACGGAAAAAATTCATTTCCCAGCCCAACTCGAGATTGATGTGCTAATACCACGTTTCCAGGACACTTCATTAATCACCAGAGGTTGGAGGCAGCTCACCAATCTCCATTATGTCACATGCAAAGACGAAATTTTTCATTCCACAAATTTGTCATTTGAAATTAATTAAATTCAAACACTCGGGTTGACTTCCGGAAGAGTTTGAATACGCGTTTTTTGCATTCTCAAGGCATGCACATCCAAGGACT